TGTAAATGATAATGGCGGCCTTTGATTAAATTTTCTAGAGAAAGGGAGTTTAGTAATAGGTAATACGGTACATATTAAAAAAAAGATAAATAAGTATATAAGATAAGATACAGGGTGTATTGACATGTTTATAGAGAGGCCACAGACATATCAGATCACCTTTTAGTTGTAGCTACAATGAGAATAAAACGTGGATGGGATACAAGGAGTATGGAATCAGCAAGTAAGAAAGAGATGAAAGTTTATAAACTATAGGAGGAGACAGTTAGGGTAAAACATAAACAACTATTGGATAGTGAGAGTACACACAATGAGGTTGAAGAGGTATGGAATAGATTTAAGAATATAGTGCTAGAGTGTTCATCAGAAGTTTGTGGTTACAGGAAAGTGGGTGTGAGAGGGAAGAAGAGTGATTGGTAGAATGATGAGGTGAAGAGAGAAAACATTAGCATATGAGACGTTTTTACAAAGTAGGAACTGGCAGAGAGCATGCATGGTTCCTTTGTATCAAGGCAAAGGGAACAAAAGGAGTGTAAAAATTATAGGGGAATAAGCATGTCAAGTATGCCTGGTAAAGTGTATGTTAGAGTTATTATTGAAAGAAATAAGAGTAAGACGGAGAGCAGGGTTGCAGGTGAACAAGGAGGCTACAGGATGTGGTTTACCAAGTGTTTACAGTGAAGCATTTAGATTAACAGTATTTACAAAATGGATAGAGGATTTCGTTGCATTTATGGATTTGGAAAACGCTTACAAAAGGGTGAAAAGGAGAGCATTATGGCAGATGTTGCAAGTGTATGGGATTAGATGTTAGTTTACTAAAAGCAGTTAATAGTAAAATTAGGCCTTAAACAGGAATGCGTGATATCACCATGGTTTTTCAATATATTTATTGATGGGTTTGTAAGAGAAATGAATGCTTGTGTGTTATAAGTGGTGTGGAATTAAAAAATAATTTAACTCAAAGTGGGAGATGTCACAGTTGCTTTTCACTGATGACATTGTACTTATTGGAGATTCTGCTGAGGTTAGTGGACGAATTTAAGAGTGTATGTAAAAGAAGGAAATTAATATTGTAAGATAATGAAGATAACAAGACTTTTAGGAAATGAAAGATTGGATATCAGATTAGAGGAAGGTAGTATGGAGGAAGTGAATGTGTTCATATATTTGGGAGTGGAATTGTGAGCTATTGGGTCTATGAAAAATGAGGTAAACTATGAAATTGATGAAGAGGGTAAAAAGTGAGTGGTTCACTGAGGAATCTGTGGAGGTAAACAACATTATCCATGGAAGCAAAAGGTGGAATGTATGAGAGTATAATTATTCCAGAGCTCTTATATTGGTGTAAAGCATGGGTAGTGAATGTTGCAACGAGGAGAAGGCTGGAGGCAGTGGAAATGTCGTGTCTGAAGGCAATGGTAGGTGTGATTATGCAGAGAATCTCAACTTGGAGATTAAAAGGAGGTGCAAAGAGGGGGCTTTGAGGCAGTTCTATCATTTGAAGAGGATGGAACAAAAGAGAATGACTTCAAGGGCATATAAATCTGTAGCGGAAGGCAGGGTAAGTGTCGTCCTAGGAAAGGTTGAAGGGGGAGGATAAAGGAGGTTTTGTGTGCGAGGGGCTTAGACTTCCAGCAAGCATGCATGAGTGTGTTAAATAGGAGCAGGTGGAGGCAAATAGTTTTTATGGCTTGACGTACTATTGGAGCTTGAGGAAAGTTGCATTTATGAAGGGATTTAGGGAAACTGGTTAGCCGGACTTGAGTCCTGGAGATGTGAAGTACAGTGCCAGCACGGGGGATGGAAATCTTCAGCTCAAGATCTTTCACATGTCTCTGTACATCATCAAGAGTTATGCATTGTTGCAAGAAAGCAGCAAGTGGATTAAGGGAAGTTTTCTCAGAGTACGGTAGCTTGGCGACTCCTAGTATCAGAAACAATACCGGTCCTCATGCCGATCCTTGTAGTACCCTGCTTATCATTACCCTTCATTTTTATTTCCCCTCACAGACCATTACACTTTGTTTCCTTCTTCTAGCATACTCTTTGGTTCACTGGAGTGCATCTCATATTATTCCTGTTTGCTCCTTGAGTTTTTGAAATCCCTCCTCTGTCTTATTTCTGTTACTTTCTCACAAAATTCCATTAGGTTGATAGATTCTGCCATTTCTTATGTGTGTGTGTGTGTGATGAATGGTTTGAAAAACCGACAAGTTGAAGATTGAGACACTTATGCAGCATATGGGAATCTTTATTCAGAAAACGTTTCGCCACACAGTGGCTTCATCAGTCCAATACAAAGAGGAAGGCGTAAGGAGAGGAGGAGAATGAGGTAATCAGTCCCTCAACCTGGAGTCGATGTGTTCAGTCCATCAATCTTGTAGAATGTACAGCATAGGGCCGTAGACGTGGCTTATATACAACTTGTCGGTTTTATGCTTATATGCTTATATACAACTTGTCGGTTTTTCAAACCATTCATCACAACTGTCAGACACTGCAGCACCATGGGATCTTGTTACAAAGAATTCTTCAACACTTGTTCAACCTTTGGACGAAGACCTACTTCGACTAGTGGATGATACCACTATGACCCCGCCTCCATCTGCTTCACGTCACCTCACTACAGTATATAAGCCACGTCTACGGCCCTATGCTGTACATTCTACAAGATTGATGGACTGAACACATCGACTCCAGGTTGAGGGACTGATTACCTCATTCTCCTCCTCTCCTTACCCCTTCCTCTTTGTATTGGACTGATGAAGCCACTGTGTGGCGAAACGTTTCCTGAATAAAGATTCCCATACCTGGAGTTTACCTGGAGAGAGTTTCGGGGGTCAACGCCCCCGCGGCCCGGTCTGTGACCAGGCCTCCTGGTGGATCAGCGCCTGATCAACCAGGCTGTTGCTGCTGGCTGCACGCAAACCAACGTACGAGCCACAGCCCGGCTGATCGGGAACTGACTTTAGGTGCTTGTCCAGTGCCAGCTTGAAGACTGCCAGGGGTCTGTTGGTAATCCCCCTGTTGGTAATCCCCCATATGCTGCATAAGTGTCTCAATCTTCAACTTGTCGGTTTTTCAAACCATTCATCACAACTGTCAGACACTGCAGCACCATGGGATCTTGTTACAAAGAATTCTTCAACACTTGTTCAACCTTTGGACGAAGACCTACTTCGACTAGTGGATGATACCACTATGACCCCGCCTCCATCTGCTTCACGTCACCTCACTACAGTATATAAGCCACGTCTACGGCCCTATGTTGTACATTCTACAAGATTGATGGACTTAACACATCGACTCCAGGTTGAGGGACTGATTACCTCATTCTCCTCCTCTCCTTACGCCTTCCTCTTTGTATTGGACTGATGAAGCCACTGTGTGGCGAAACGTTTCCTGAATAAAGATTCCCATATGCTGCATAAGTGTCTCAATCTTCAACTTGTCGGTTTTTCAAACCATTCATCACAACTGTCAGACACTGCAGCATCATGGGATCTTGTTACAAAGAATTCTTCAACACTTGTTCAACCTTTGGACGAAGACCTACTTCGACTAGTGGATGATACCACTATGACCCCGCCTCCATCTGCTTCACGTCACCTCACTACAGTATATAAGCCACGTCTACGGCCCTATGCTGTACATTCTACAAGATTGATGGACTGAACACATCGACTCCAGGTTGAGGGACTGATTACCTCATTCTCCTCCTCTCCTTACGCCTTCCTCTTTGTATTGGACTGATGAAGCCACTGTGTGGCGAAACGTTTCCTGAATAAAGATTCCCATACCTGGAGAGAGTTTCGGGGGTCAACGCCCCCGCGGCCCGGTCTGTGACCAGGCCTCCTGGTGGATCAGCGCCTGATCAACCAGGCTGTTGCTGCTGGCTGCACGCAAACCAACGTACGAGCCACAGCCCGGCTGATCGGGAACTGACTTTAGGTGCTTGTCCAGTGCCAGCTTGAAGACTGCCAGGGGTCTGTTGGTAATCCCCCTGTTGGTAATCCCCCATATGCTGCATAAGTGTCTCAATCTTCAACTTGTCGGTTTTTCAAACCATTCATCACAACTGTCAGACACTGCAGCACCATGGGATCTTGTTACAAAGAATTCTTCAACACTTGTTCAACCTTTGGACGAAGACCTACTTCGACTAGTGGATGATACCACTATGACCCCGCCTCCATCTGCTTCACGTCACCTCACTACAGTATATAAGCCACGTCTACGGCCCTATGCTGTACATTCTACAAGATTGATGGACTTAACACATCGACTCCAGGTTGAGGGACTGATTACCTCATTCTCCTCCTCTCCTTACGCCTTCCTCTTTGTATTGGACTGATGAAGCCACTGTGTGGCGAAACGTTTCCTGAATAAAGATTCCCATATGCTGCATAAGTGTCTCAATCTTCAACTTGTCGGTTTTTCAAACCATTCATCACAACTGTCAGACACTGCAGCATCATGGGATCTTGTTACAAAGAATTCTTCAACACTTGTTCAACCTTTATACGAAGACCTACTTCGACTAGTGGATGATACCACTATGACCCCGCCTCCATCTGCTTCACGTCACCTCACTACAGTATATAAGCCACGTCTACGGCCCTATGCTGTACATTCTACAAGATTGATGGACTGAACACATCGACTCCAGGTTGAGGGACTGATTACCTCATTCTCCTCCTCTCCTTACGCCTTCCTCTTTGTATTTGTGTGTGTGTGTGTGTGTGTGTGTGTGTGTGTGTGTGTGTGTGTGTGTGTGTGTGTGTGTGTGTGTGTGTGTGTGTGTGTGTGTGTGTGTGTGTGTGTGTGTGTGTGTACTCACGTGTGGTTGCTAGGGTCGATTCACAGTTCCTGGTGTGTGTTTGTGAGAGAGAGAGAGAGAGAGAGAGAGAGAGAGAGAGAGATGCTGGAGGGAGGGGGGAACGGTAATAAAATCAAACACACACTGCACCCTGCTAAACAGTATTGTTACCTTGCAGTTAACATGGATAACTTACTTGGTAGCTACAATATGGATGGGTTTACCTTGATCCAGAGCCTCGTCGATCGCTACTACATCGCCCAGCTCACACAAAACAACTCGTACGTCAGTCTGCGTTACCAGGTATGACCACCACGACATGTTATAAGGAACGTTGCACACAACATATTACAATATCGATCTCTGGCTGAAGGAGACTCGAACCTACGAACCTTGGAGCAAGGTACGCAGTGCTATACCATTCTCACCACACTGGACCAATACCTTGGAGTCCAGCTTGCCATAGACTTTGATCCAAGGCAGCCAGCTTTCAGGCAGAAGGCTTACAGCTTTTCATGAAAAGTTTTTCATGAAAAGCTGTAAGCCTTCTCCCTGAAAGCTGGCTGCCTTGGATCAAAGTCTAGCGCAAGCTGGACGCCAAGGTATTGGTCCAGTGTGGTGAGAATGGTATAGCACTGCGTACCTTGTTACAAGGTTCGTAGGTTCGAGTCTCCTTCAGCCAGAGATCAGTGTTTGTTTATATTTCGCCTGCTCTTGGGAATTCCTTGCACATATTACAATATATAATAGGCCGCACGGAAGACGAGACAGATAGGACCGATTGAGACATGTGGTCACTAACCCTTAAACTGTTCAAACGTAGATCTATATTTGCTCGTGTAGCGCTCCGAACATAGATATACTTTTTTTGCATTGTTTCTTATGGAGAAAACCAAGGTCGGAGCACTACGCGTGCAAACGTAGATCTACGTTTGGACAGTTTAAGAGCTAACTACGGTACAGGTGGGGACTGAACTCGCTGCTGGTGAATCATAATACTCACTAGCCACGAGTTCAATTCCCTCTCGTATCATAATTTGTTTGCAGTCGTGTTATTACGATTTCGTGAGTCATGTGGTAACTCCTCGACGTAGTAAATACTGTTATTTATAGTGCCCCGTCGCCTGGTGGCTAAAGCTCTCGCTTCACACTGAGTTTTCGGATTCAATTCCCGGCGAGGGTAGAAACATACACCGGTTTTCCATGTTCACTCATCAATAAAATGGGTACCTGGGTGTTAGTGGACTGGTGTGGGTCGCATCCTGGGACAAAACTGACCTAATTTGCCCGAAATGCTCAGCATAACAAGCGGCTTTCTATATAGTAGTATGTCATTGATGTCAGCTAGGACGGTGTACCTTGTACATGTACATGTTGAAATAAAGATATTATTATTATTATTATTATTATATTATTATTATTATTATTATTATTATTATTATTATTATTATTATTATAATGAATGCACATGTCCACACAATTAGTATTGTATCAGAGGCGATGATTGGTAAATGAATTCTTAATTTCTGAGTAATGTTATACAACATAAAATCAGTACTTGACCAATTGAGCTAGGGTTTGTATGTCACTTTGTGTGAGGTCATCATTAATAGCCTGGTTGATCAGGCTCTGATCCACCGTGAGGCTTGGTCATGGACCAGGCCGTTGGGTCTTTGACTCACTTAATACCCTCAATATATATACTCCAAATGCAGAGAATTAAATTTATAGATCTACATTAAAGGTAATCACTGAAGAGGCATAGTGCAGAGCCAGTGCTTGCAGTTTTGCCAAGTCACTGTTGTCATACTCGGTCGAAAGCACCACCGATGTCCAATGATACTACACAGCTGACCCTGGATTCATCCAGTGACTATTGCCACGTAGTGGAGAGGTTTAACAGTAGATCAAGAGCAGGGTGACCTTTGCTGAAGCCATACGGACGGTCACAAAGTAGTGAGTGGTAGTCGAAAAAACTGTTATCTGCCAAGAGATTATTGTCTCAAGAATCTTGCCAGTGATTGACAGGAGTGACACTCGTCTGTAGTTGCTAATTTCCGGTCTGCTCTTCTTTTTGTGAACAAGGACTACATCTGCCTCTTCCCACAGAGAACACCATTTACTCTGCGTTAGGCAGTGATGATAGATGCGAGTTAGAGATGACGCTACCTGATCTCCACATCTACTCACCAATCTTGGGTTCAACTTATCTGGGCCCACAACTTTTTCTTGGTTCGGCGATTTAAGTAGAAGATACATTTCATCCAGCCTTGTTGACGTCACTAACAACTTTGACACAGTTCTTGCGGCTAGCAAAGGAGGGTCTCTCGCTGTTTAAAGAGCTTGCATCTTGGCAGCAAAGTGTTTAGCAAAGAAGTCAATTTCCTCCTGACTGCTAGTAGAGATGGTCCCATCCTGCCGGTTTAGAGGTGGAATAATTTCATTAGGTGAATAACCATGTCGATCCTTGACCAAGGACCACCAGGTTTAGGAGCCAACTCTACCTGATGCTTCTTTTTCTTTTGTGTCAGCCTCCCATATAGAGATAGCCCACTTTTGCACTTCTCCCATTTGTCAACAGACTTGCCTGTGCAGGTTCCTGTTATAGATAGTGGGATGCCTTTTATATTTTCTCCATGCCTTGTACTTAGCAGTGGCAGCCTCTCTACAACGAAAGCCAAACCAAGGCTGATCTGTAGACTTCTTCACATACTGCCGGTGAGGGGTGTGTTCTTGTTGTAGATTAAGGATGTGTCCTATAAATCTCTCTCTCTCTCTCTCTCTCTCTCTCTCTCTCTCTCTCTCTCTCTCTTTCACACAGGGTTTGACAAGGTTAGGTTAAGGATCCCTAGCTTTATTGACAAGCTATTTACAGATTAAGGATTCCTAACTTTATTGGCAAGCTAAGAGCTGTTACCTACATCAGCTCATTTGAAAGCATTTTTATTGTTATGAGACATACAAGTGTGGAACAGGATGAAGTTGGAACCATCTGTGAGCCAGCATTTTCATTTGATCAACTGACTTTATCTCGTTGACATCATTATGCTGTACGAATGTACAGCAAGGAACATCTATTGAAAACTGACTACTGTCTGGAAAAAATCTTCCAACTCCAGCCCCAATTGTATTGTTGAGTGGTGCTTTCAGTTTAAGACGTTTAAAATGGAAGAATGTGGCAAATAATGTTATAGTGGAGATAACCTCAGGAGGAAGCTCAGATGAAAACTCTCACACACATGAGCTATTAAATCTTTGCAATAGATTCATCTTAAGCCAGCAAACAGTGGAGCCAACAAGACTGGGAAACACACTTAATCTTATTTTCTCTAATATTGACGAGTTGGTATGAAATAAAACAGTATTAAAGAAAATACAATAGGATAATAACCTAATCAAAGTTCAGACTTATATGCACAGGGGTCCTGATCTTAGAAATAAGATCAGTTATGAGGGTGCCTTCACCAAATTCATGTTCAATAGCAAAAACATCCATTGGGATCAAATTACCATGTCCTAAACTTAACATACTGGAAAGATATCCTAAACGACACGGATCCGATTCATTTCCTAGAAAGACTTAACTCTATGGCACTTGAGGTATATTCAAGGCACATTCCTCTAAGAAAATAAGAAGAGAATATGTACACTAGAAAATGGGAGACGCTACCTCAACAGGCGAAGGCGATGAATCACAGAGCTTCTCCAAAGGGTCAGTCTGTGCAGAATACGGAAGGAGGCATTGGCTAGAGAAATAGAAAATATCGAACTTACGTTAAAGGAATCTTCAGGATCCAAGAAACGAGACTTGTACCTGCTTAACCTTAAGCACAGAGGAACTATTAAAGCACACAATAAATCTCTGCTCAAGGAAATGCTTCTAATTAATCGGGAGCCTTAGCTAAAGAGTCAGAATTCCTGGTCATGTAGTGCCCTCTCTAGATTCTAACACACCCCTGATCCTCAGAATCACTGCCTGTGACGAGCGGGGTCCCACAGGGGTCAGTCCTAGGACCAGTGCCATTTTTGGTATATGTGAATGACGTGACGGAAGGGATACACTCAGATGCGTCCCTGTTCGCAGATGATGTAAAGTTAATGAGGAGAATTAAATCAAATGAGGATCAGGCAGGACTACAAAGAGACCTGGATAGGCTGGATGCGTGGTCCAGCAACTGGCACCTAGAATTTAACCTCGGGAATGCAAAGTCATGAAGATCGAGGAAGGGCAAAGAAGACCGCAGACAGAGCATAGTCTAGGTGACCAAAGACTGCAAACCTCACTCGAGGAGAAAGATCTTGGGGTGAGTATAATACCGAGCACGACTCCGGAAGCACACATTAACCAGATAACTGCTGCTGCATATGGGCGCCTGGCAAACCTGAGAATAGCGTTCCGATACTTCAGTAAGGAATCGTTCAAGACACTGTACACTGTGTACGTCAGCCCCATACTGGAGTATGCAGCACCAATTTGGAGCCCACACCTGGTCAAGCACGTCAAAAAATTAGAGAAAGTGCAAAGGTTTGCAACAAGACTAGTTCCGGAGCTAAGGGGAATACCCTACGAAGAAAGGTTAAGGGAAATCGGCCTCACGACACTGGAGGACAAGAGGGTCAGGGGAGACATGATAACGACATACAAAATACTGCGAGGAATAGATAAGGTGGACAGATACAAAATGTTCCAGAGAAGGGACACTGAAACAAGGGGTCACATTTGGAAGTTGAAGACTCAGATGACTCAAAGGGATGTTAGGAAGTATTTCTTCACCCATAGAGTTGTTAGGAGGTGGAATGGTCTGGCAAGTGATGTAGTGGAGGCAGGAACCATACATAGTTTTAAGAAGAGGTATGATAAAGATCATGGAACAAGGAGAGAGAGGACCCAGTCGCGGTCAGTGAAAAGGCGAGGCCAGGAACTGAGTCTCGATCCCTACAACAACAAATAGGTGAGTACAGGATGGTTCAACTCAGGTGAGTTGCAATTAGTCATTCTCAATCTGATAATGTCAACCACACTGACATTCATAACACTCATTCATGATCTGAGACCCAGAAGTCAACTGGGTCTCAACTCTCATGTTGCAGTACACTATTAATGAATTCACAAAACACTTGGTATTTTTAGATCTCTTAGGGCGGAAATCTCACCTTAGGGAAACTTAAGATTGCTATCATTTTCCCTCTTACCTCCACAAGGATCTGAAGGGAATAAATGTTTAACAAGCCTCTTTGTCAAATAAGCTTCTCAAGAAAAGGGTGTAAAAGGTATTATACTTTCCCTACATTATCCTAATAAATGGTAATTCAAAATTCCTACATATTGACTTAAGAAATCGTAATGACACGATTGCAAATAAACCATACCCCCGGCCGGGATTGAACCCGCGGTCATAGAGTCTCAAAACTCCAGCCCGTCGCGTTAGCCACTAGACCAGCTAGCCACAATAAGATTCATCCAACTAGGTATATTTCTACACCATAGGAAGGTTAGCACAGGCACCACTGTGACCACAAATGCAAGTTTTTACAGACGAATCTCCAGACTCTATGGCCGCGGGTTCAATCCCGGCCGGGGGTATGGTTTCCTACATATTGTATAATTATTGCAGATATGTTAATGGTGACAACCATTTATGTCTCAACCTGAGATATATTGTACATGCAATTTCTTAAAATTATTTAAATATATTGCAGCACCAATTTATTTTATTGTCTCGCCGGCAGCTGGAGACGCAGATGTACCCATACCCACCCTACGTCCAGGACAGAGCTATGAGTCAGTTCTACGGCTCCGCCCTGCCTACCTTCGTGGTTCTGTCGTTGGTACTTCTCTCACCTTCTCTCATCAAGAGCATTGTGTATGAGAAGGAGACTGGTGTGAGGGTGAGTCCATAGCTAGCTTGGGTGTTTATGATGTAGTCCATAGGAGAATGTTGTGAGGGAGAGTCCTAGCTGGCTTAGATCTTTAAGGTGTAGAGGAGAATGGTGTGAGGGAGAGTCCTAGCTGGCTTAGATCTTTAATGTGTAGTTCAGAGAATGGTGTGAGAGTCCTAGCTGGCTTAGATCTTTAATGTGTAGTTCAGAGGAGAATGGTGTGAGAGTCCTAGCTGGCTTAGATCTTTAATGTGTAGTTCAGAGGAGAATGGTGTGAGAGTCCTAGCTGGCTTAGACCTTTAATGTGTAGTTCAGAGGAGAATTGTGCGAGGGAGAATCCTAGCTGGGTTTTCTAGGTGTAGTACACAGGAGGTTGTTATGATGACAAGTCCTACATAGCTATCTTGGGTCTTCTAGGTGACGGTCTTGTAAACCTGGCTTTACCGGGTCTCTCACCACTATAAAGAAAAACAGATGTTTACTTCACAACGCACAAACTGAAAAAAAACAAACTGGATGACATTTCAGCCCATCGTAGACCATTATGAAGGCGAGAGTGAAGCTTGATAATAGTCCAAGACAAACAAAAACACCGTAGAGCTTTCTTACTCAATGTTTAAGGTTACTGTGAAGTGAAACAGCCACTGTATAAAAGCTTTCTTCATCAAATACTGAGTCACTGTTGTGTTTACCTGTGTATATATAATGCTGCTATAAACTTGACGATCACTGTCACCGTTTTTCTTTATATATTTCAAGCTCCTACCATTACATACATGTTTGTATTATTTTTATATTAGTGCTTGGGGGACTGGAAGGCATTCAGATTCAAGTCATGGAAGGGCACGGAAGGCTCAGTTCCTTAAAGCAAGAATACCTCACCGGAGTCAAGGAATCTCCCTTAAGTGGATTGTTTAGGTATTACCCGTGTCACTTTATGCAGTTTGCTAATATATTTGTCACTGAAAAATCCCTGATGTGGGTCTTAGTGGCATGATGACTCGCTCTCAGTGATCTTAACGTCAGTGTAATTTGTGTACAGTACTTTTCCGTATGTTGTCTTTCTCATTGTTACGACTTTGATGTTGTAACTTAAATAAAATGTTCCTGGCTGCTAAAGGCTGCTCACACTGCTGTCTAGGGGTTATAAAATTACACTGAAAAACACAGCAACTCTTGGACCAGCATGTATTCATATATTAAACAATATTAATTATTATTAGGAAGGAAGGACAGAAACTCACCTATATAAAAATATATCTATACTAATAGTAACTTTTTATTATCACACTGGCCGATTCCCACCAAAGCAGGGTGGCCCGAAAAAGAAAAATTTTCACCATCATTCACTCCATCACTGTCTTGCCAGAAGGGTGCTTTACACTACAGTTTTTAAACTGCAACATTAACACCCCTCCTTCAGAGTGCAGGCACTGTACTTCCCATCTCCAGGACTCAAGTCCGGCCTGCCGGTTTCCCTGAACCCCTTCATAAATGTTACTTTGCTCACACTCCAACAGCACGTCAAGTATTAAAAACCATTTGTCTCCATTCACTCCTATCAAACACGCTCACGCACGCCTGCTGGAAGTCCAAGCCCCTCGCACACAAAACCTCCTTTACCCCCTCCCTCCAACCTATCCTAGGCCGACCCCTACCCCGCCTTCCTTCCACTACAGGCTGATACACTCTTGAAGTTATTCTGTTTCGCTCCATTCTCTCCACATGTCCGAACCACCTCAACAACCCTTCCTCAGCCCTCTGGACAACAGTTTTGGTAATCCCGCACCTCCTCCTAACTTCCAAACTACGAATTCTCTGCATTATATTCACACCACACATTGCCCTCAGACATGACATCTCCACTGCCTCCAGCCTTCTCCTCGCTGCAACATTCATCACCCATGCTTCACACCCATATAAGAGCGTTGGTAAAACTATACTCTCATACATTCCCTCTTTGCCTCCAAGGACAAAGTTCTTTGTCTCCACAGACTCCTGAGTGCACCGCTCACCCTTTTCCCCTCATCAATTCTATGATTCACCTCATCTTAGTCCCATCCACTGACACGTCCACTCCCAAATATCTGAATACATTCACATCCTCCATACTCTCTCCCTCCAATCTGATATCCAATCTTTCATCATCTAATCTTTTTGTTATCCTCATAACCTTACTCTTTCCTGTATTCAGTTTTAATTTTCTTCTTTTACATACCCTACCAAATTCATCCACCAACCTCTGCAACTTCTCTTCGGAATCTCCCAAGAGCACAGTGTCATCAGCAAAGAGCAACTGTGACAACTCCCACTTTATGTGTGATTCTTTATCTCTTAACTCCACGCCTCTTGTCAAGACCCTCGCATTTACTTCTCTTACAACCCCACCTATAAATATATTAAACAACCACAGTGACATCACACATCCTTGTCTAAGGCCTACTTTTACTGGGAAATAATCTCCCTCTTTCCTACATACTCTAAGTTGAGCCTCACTATCCTCGTAAAAACTCTCCACTGCTTTCAGTAACCTACCTCCTACACCATACATCTGCAACATCTGCCACATTGCCCCCCTATCCACCTGTCATACGCCTTTTCCAAATCCATAAATGCCACAAAAACCTCTTTAGCCTTATCTAAATACTGTTTACTTACATGTTTCACTGTAAACACATGGTCCACACACCCCCTACCTTTCCTAAAGCCTCCTTGTTCATCTGCTATCCTATTCTCCGTCGTACTCTTAATTCTTTCAATAATAACTCTACCATACACTTTACCAGGTATACTCAACAGACTTATCACCCTATAATTTTTGCACTCTCTTTTATCCCCTTTGCCTTTATACAAAGGAACTATGCATGCTCTCTGCCAATCCCTAGGTACCGTACCTTCTTCCATACATTTATTAAATAATTGCACCAACCACTCCAAAACTATATCCCCACCTGCTTTTAACATTTCTATCTTTATCCCATCAATCCCGGCTGCCTTACCCCCTTTCATTTTACCTACTGCCTCACGAACTTCCCCCACACTCACAACTGGCTCTTCCTCGCTCCTACAAGATGTTATTCCTCCTTGCCCTATACACGAAATCACAGCTTCCCCATCTTCATCAACATTTAACAATTCCTCAAAATATTCCCTCCATCTTCCCAATACCTCTAACTCTCCATTTAATAACTCTCCTCTCCTATTTTTAACTGACAAATCCATTTGTTCTCTAGGCTTCCTTAACTTGTTAATCTCACTCCAAAACTTTTTCTTATTTTCAACAAAATTTGTTGATAACATCTCACCCACTCTCTCATTTGCTCTCTTTTTACATTGCTTCACCACTCTCTTAACCTCTCTCTTTTTCTCCACATACTCTTCCCTCCTTGCATCACTTCTACTTTGTAAAAACTTCTCATATGCTAACTTTTTCTCCCTTACTACTCTATTTACATCATTCCACCAATCGCTCCTCTTCCCTCCCGCACCCACTTTCCTGTAACCACAAACTTCTGCTGAACACTCTAACACTACATTTTTAAACCTACCCCATACCTCTTCGACCCCATTGCCTATGCTCTCATTAGCCCATCTATCCTCCAATAGCTGTTTATATCTTACCCTAACTGCCTCCTCTTTTAGTTTAAAAACCTTCACCTCTCTCTTCCCTGATGCTTCTATTCTCCTTGTATCCCATCTACCTTTTACTCTAAGTGTAGCTACAACTAAAAAGTGCTCTGATATATCTGTGGCCCCTCTATAAACATGTACATCCTGAAGTCTACTCAACAGTCTTTTATCTACCAATACATAATCCAACAAACTACTGTCATTTCGCCCCACATCATATCTTGTATACTTATTTATCCTCTTTTTCTTAAAATATGTATTACCTATAACTAAACCCCTTTCTATACAAAGTTCAATCAAAGGGCTCCCATTATCATTTACACCTGGCACCCAAAACTTACCTACCACACCCTCTCTAAAAGTTTCTCCTACTTTAGCATTCAGGTCCCCTACCACAATTACTCTCTCACTTGGTTCAAAGGTTTCTATACATTCACTTAACATCTCCCAAAATCTCTCTCTCCTCTACATTCCTCTCTTCTCCAGGTGCATACACGCTTATTATGACCCACTTTTCGTTTCCAACCTTTACTTTAATCCACATAATTCTTGAATTTACACATTCATAAATAGTAACTTATATTCAACTTATAACTACTACAAAAACCACCACACACCAGTTCACATTAGCTCACTGCTACTGATGAGTTAAAATAAATCATCAGGGAGGCACCATGACATACACACCCCCGTCTTCACTTCTGTCTGGTAGACTAATTACCAGCAGGCAAAACACCATACAGTACTCTCGCATAAACGGGCCTCTGCATACTAGGGCCTTACAAATAAACATTAGAGCACTTAAACACAAACACCTTTGGTATACACTAAAAAAGTTACCTACTCAAGCGAACACCAACCCATGACGACTTCACCCAGCAGCCTTCCTACACGTACTGAACTAAACAGACCTCTCACCTGCTCCTGTCCTGGCGGCTGCCTGACTGACAGGAATATAACACGTTCGCTTTCAGTTCAATCCAGGAACTATGTTATATAAAATATATATTCTTCATTTCACTGCCTAACACTCATTCACTTTTTGCCTTATCCCACCATTCTTTTTTTGTCTTTATTAATTCAAAGTTCTAAGTGATAAGCTTGATATCTTCATACCATCAGTAACCCATCACTACGCTTGGAAAGGAATTTAATTCATACAAAGTTCTAAATGATTTTTTGACTTCTCTGTATAGCCAATGATCTACGTGCTTTGTTCGGGTAGGAGCTGGTGCGACTGATGGGTCTGGACGGATGGCTGGTATGGCTGGGATGGTTCCTTCACTCCTTCATCATCATCATCGTGGTGGCCTCCATTATCACACTGGTGCTCAAGCTGAAGCTGATGCCTCTGCAGGATGGTAGCGGGTTCCTGCCACCCATCCTGGCATACAGTGACCCTATCTTCATCTGGGTCCTGCTGCTTCTTTACGGTATCTCCTCTATCGCCTTCTGCTTCGTCATTGCTACCTTCTTCAGTAAACGTGAGTGTTGACTAAATCATAATAATACTTTGGTATATCTGATGAGGGATAGTTATGTTGCTTGAAAAAAAAATCGGTATCCCCGAAATGGATTTTTCGGTAATTGTGAGACATTTTTTTCTCTTTTTCATTGTTCCTTCTTCAACATTCCGTCTTTATATCATTCATAACATGAGGCCTAATCCGGGGCAAGATTCTAGGAACAATTGGCAATGGCAGCTGACCCATTCTTGGCATCCTCAAATGGATCTGATAGCTCCTAAACTACACTGTGGCATTGCTGGATTCCCAACAATTACTAGAGAATGTCTGGGAATAAAGACACTGATAACAGAGGAGCCTTATAATACAACGTTTCGCCCAACATTGGGTTATATCAAGTACACAGGAATGAACAAAAACACCGACTTAATAAGCAAAACGAGCACCATGAGTTCTAACCCGGCTAAAGGGAAGTGTACCGCGGCGCACTGGTGGCAGCGGCCAGAAGCATAAAAATCTTAAAAATTCGGAAAAATTAATCAAGTCTGCCGAGAAATGGTTCTAAAATCTGGCAACATTTTGGTGTAACTCTCATTTTATTACGATGTTTCTACAGCGGATTAAAGTAGCTACAACACTGGATGTGGTGACGTCACTTGTATACCCTTCTGTAGATACTAAATTTCCCGCATTTTTTACCGATTTTTTTTATCTTTCTTTCTGGGAGGTGCTATCCCAGGCTAGGGAGGTGCTATCCCAGGCTAGGGAGGTGCTATCCCAGGCTAGGGAGGTGCTATCCCAGGCTAGGGAGGTGCTATCCCAGACTAGGGAGGTGCTATCCCAGGCTAGGGAGGTGCTATCCCAGGCTAGGGAGGTGCTATCCCAGGCTAGGGAGGTGCTATCCCAGGCTAGGGAGGTGCTATCCCAGGCTAGGGAGGTGCTATCCCAGGCTAGGGAGGTGCTATCCCAGGCTAGGGAGGTGCTATCCCAGGCTAGGGAGGTGCTATCCCAGGCTAGGGAGGTGCTATCCCAGGCTAGGGAGGTGCTATCCCAGGCTAGGGAGGTGCTATCCCAGGCTAGGGAGGTGCTATCCCAGGCTAGGGAGGTGCTATCCCAGGCTAGGGAGGTGCTATCCCAGGCTAGAGAGGTGCTATCCCAGGCTAGGGAGGTGCTATCCCAGACTAGGGAGGTGCTATCCCAGGCTAGGGAGGTGCTATCCCAGGCTAGGGAGGTGCTATCCCAGACTAGGGAGGTGCTATCCCAGGCTAGGGAGGTGCTATCCCAGGCTAGGGAGGTGCTATCCCAGACTAGGGAGGTGCTATCCCAGGCTAGGGAGGTGCTATCCCAGGCTAGGGAGGTGCTATCCCAGACTAGGGAGGTGCTATCCCAGGCTAGGGAGGTGCTATCCCAGGCTAGGGAGGTGCTATCCCAGACTAGGGAGGTGCTATCCCAGGCTAGGGAGGTGCTATCCCAGGCTAGGGAGGTGCTATCCCAGACTAGGGAGGTGCTATCCCAGGCTAGGGAGGTGCTATCCCAGGCTAGGGAGGTGCTATCCCAGACTAGGGAGGTGCTATCCCAGGCTAGGGAGGTGCTATCCCAGGCTAGGGAGGTGCTATCCCAGACTAGGGAGGTGCTATCCCAGGCTAGGAAGGTGCTATCTCAGGCTAGGAAGGTGCTATCTCAGGCTAGGGAGGTGCTATCCCAGGCTAGGGAGGTGCTATCCCAGGCTAGGGAGGTGCTATCCCAGGCTAGGGAGGTGCTATCCCAGACTAGGGAGGTGCTATCCCAGGCTAGGGAGGTGCTATCCCAGGCTAGGGAGGTGCTATCCCAGACTAGGGAGGTGCTATCCCAGGCTAGGGAGGTGCTATCCCAGGCTAGGGAGGTGCTATCCCAGACTAGGGAGGTGCTATCCCAGGCTAGGGAGGTGCTATCCCAGGCTAGGGAGGTGCTATCCCAGACTAGGGAGGTGCTATCCCAGGCTAGGAAGGTGCTATCTCAGGCTAGGAAGGTGCTATCTCAGGCTAGGGAGGTGCTATCCCAGGCTAGGGAGGTGCTATCCCAGGCTAGGGAGGTGCTATCCCAGGCTAGGGAGGTGCTATCCCAGGCTAGGGAGGTGCTATCCCAGGCTAGGGAGGTGCTATCCCAGGCTAGGGAGGTGCTATCCCAGACTAGGGAGGTGCTATCCCAGACTAGGGAGGTGCTATCCCAGACTAGGGAGGTGCTATCCCAGGCTAGGGAGGTGCTATCCCAGGCTAGGGAGGTGCTATCCCAGGCTAGGGAGAAGCTATCCCAGGCTAGGGAGAAGCTATCCCAGGCTAGGGAGAAGCTATCCCAGGCTAGGGAGAAGCTATCCCAGGCTAGGGAGAAGCTATCCCAGGCTAGGGAGAAGCTATCCCAGGCTAGGGAGAAGCTATCCCAGGTTAGGGAGAAGCTATCCCTTGCTAGGGAGAAGCTATCCCAGGCTAGGGAGAAGCTATCCCAGGCTAGGGAGAAGCTATCCCAGGCTAGGGAGAAGCTATCCCAGGCTAGGGAGAAGCTATCCCAGGCTAGGGAGAAGCTATCCCAGGCTAGGGAGAAGCTATCCCAGGCTAGGGAGAAGCTATCCCAGGCTAGGGAGGTGCTATCCCAAGCTAGGGAGAAGCTATCCCAGGCTAGGGAGAAGCTATCCCAGGCTAGGGAGAAGCTATCCCAGGCTAGGGAGAAGCTATCCCAGGCTAGGAAGGTGCTATCCCAAGCTAGGGAGAAGCTATCCCAGGCTAGGGAGAAGCTATCCCAGGCTAGGGAGAAGCTATCCCAGGCTAGGGAGAAGCTATCCCAGGCTAGGGAGAAGCTATCCCAGGCTAGGGAGAAGCTATCCCAGGCTAGGGAGAAGCTATCCCAGGCTAGGGAGAAGCTATCCCAGGCTAGGGAGAAGCTATCCCAGGCTAGGGAGAAGCTATCCCAGGCTAGGGAGAAGCTATCCCAGGCTAGGGAGAAGCTATCCCAGGCTAGGGAGAAGCTATCCCAGGCTAGGAGAAGCTATCCCAGGCTAGGAGAAGCTATCCCAGGCTAGGGAGGTGCTATCCCAAGCTAGGGAGAAGCTATCCCAGGCTAGGGAGAAGCTATCCCAGGCTAGGGAGAAGCTATCCCAGGCTAGGGAGAAGCTATCCCAGGCTAGGAAGAAGCTATTCCAGGCTAGGGAGAAGCTATCCCAGGCTAAGGAGAAGCTATCCCAGGCTAGGGAGAAGCTATCCCAGGCTTGGGAGAAGCTATCCCAGGCTAGGGAGAAGCTATCCCAGGCTAGGGAGGTGCTATCCCAGGCTAGAGAGGTGCTATCCCAGGCTAGGGAGAAGCTATCCCAGGCTAGGGAGAAGCTATCCCAGGCTAGGGAGAAGCTATCCCAGGCTAGAGAGGTGCTATCCCAGGCTAGGGAGAAGCTATCCCAGGCTAGGGAGAAGCTATCCCAGGCTAGGGAGGTGCTATCCCAAGCTAGCGAAGTGCTATCCCAAGCTAGGAAGAAGCTATCCCAGGCTAGGGAGGTGCTATCCCAAGCTAGGGAAAAGCTATCCCAAGCTAGAGAGAAGCTATCCCAGGCTAAGGAGAAGCTATCCCAGGATAGGGAGGTGCTATCCCAGGCTAGGGAGGTGCTATCCCAGGCTAGGGAGGCGCTATCCCAGGCTAGGGAAGTGCTATCCCAAGCTAGGGAGGTGCTATCCCAAGCTAGGGAGGTGCTATCCCAGGTTAGGGAGAAGCTATCCCAGGCTAGGGAGGCGCTATCCCAGGCTAGGGAGGCGCTATCCCAAGCTAGGGAGGTGCTATCCCAGGCTAGGGAGAAGCTATCCCAGGTTAGGGAGAAGCTATCCCAGGCTAGGGAGGTGCTATCTCAGGCTAGGGAGGTGCTATCCCAGGCTAGGAAGAAGCTATCCCAGGCTAGGGAGAAGCTATACCAGGCTAGGGAGGCGCTATCCCAGGCTAGGGAGGCGCTATCCCAGGCTAGGGAGAAGCTATTCCAGGCAAGGAGAAGCTATCCCAGGCTAGAGAGAAGCTATCCTAGGCTTGGGAGAAGCTATCCCAGGCTAGGGAGAAGCTATCCCAAGTTAGGGAGGAGCTATCCCAGGTTAGGAAAAAGCTATCCCAGGCTAGGGAGAAGCTATCCCAGGCTAGGGAGAAGCTTTCCTAGGCTAGAGAGAAGCTATCCCAGGCTAGGGAGAAGTTATTCCAGGCTAGGGAGAAGCTATTCCAGGCTAGGGAGAAGCTATTCCAGGCTAAGGAGAAGTTATCCCAGGCTAGGGAGAAGCTATCCCAGGCTAGGAAGAAGTTATTCTAGGCTAGGGAGAAACTATCCCAGGCTAGGGAGAAGCTGTCCCAGGCTAGGGAGAAGCTATCCCAGGTTAAGGAGAAGTTATCCCAGGCTAGGAAGGCGCTATTCCAGGCTAGGGAGAAGGCATCCCAGGCTAGGGAGAAGCTTGGAGATTAGGAAGGCTGTCGACACAATTCAGCACAAGAGTTTAGTGCAAAAGCTAGAAAGGAAGACAGGAATAACAGGAAAGGCACTGAAATGGCTCACGGAATACTTGATGAGCGTGGTTCCATTAGGGTCAGCTTTAGGACCAGTGTTGTTTCTATTATATGTGAATGATATGACGGAAGGGATAGACTCAGAGATGTCTCTGTTGCATACGATGTGAAGCTAATGAGGAGAATTCAAGCAGATAAGAATCTGGACAGGCTGCAAGCCAAGTCCAACAACTGGCTCCTGGAGTTTAAACCCAGCAAGTGCATAGCCATGAACGTTGGGTAAGGTCAAAGAAGACCAAAGACGGAGTACAGGCTAGGGGGGGTCAAGGGCTACCAACCTTAATCAAAGACAAGGAGCTTGGGTAACTGTCATACCGAGCACATCTGAGGCGTACATCAACCAAATAACCGCTGCAGCATATAGGCGTCTGGTGAGGAGTCATTCAAGGCACTGTACACCATGTACGGTACGCCTATACTGGAGTATGTAGCACCAGTATGGAACCCCACACCTGGTCAAGCATATCAAGAAATTAGAAAAAGTGCAAAGGTTTGGAACAAGACTAATCCCGGAAAAAAGGGGTATGTCAACGAGGAAAGATAAGGACAGAAGGGAATGGGAGGACACGATAACGTCACATAAAATACTGAGAGGAAATGTCGAGGTGGATAGGGAAAGAATGTTTTAGATATGGAACACAGAAACAAGGTGCAGAAATTTATTTGTACTCAAAAATCCCATTGCCAGGTTCGAATGTAAATATTTTAGTGTCGTGGTCACGGGAAGACTTTATCACCCTTTCACCTAACAATAACATCAGCTAACTTTAAGATTTAAGTCTTAAGAATAATTTAGGTAGCCTTGAATTGTTAGTAAATAATATTAGAATTAATAATGTATCCTTAGACATTAATATTATATTATATTAAGTAATGCGGTTATGAATACTGTGAAAACTAGCATCTCTGAGCAAGGTGAAGATGCGGGTTCACAAGATCCAGGAGTTTTTTCTGGTCACACACAGCAGAGTGAGGACCTTAACTCGCTGGAATGCGGATAACAAAATACTTACCTGGTGACCAACATGAAAGAGAGGTTTCCCTGGAGTGTAACATTCAGTCTCATCCCAGGCTCCCGTATCAAACAATTATCTACTCTCAACTTAGTAACATGGTTGGCCGACGTTATTCTGGGAAATGCAAGGTAATTTAGCTAAGGGTTATATGCAGGCGACAGCCCAAATGCGAGGTAACTACGACCAGGGTTGCTGAGTAATTATCCCTTGAATATTAGACCAGAAGCTAGCAACCCATTGTGTACATAAATATTAGTTACGGGAACACCAATGAATTCAGGAATCCTTCAAGGTGTATGCTGGGTACTAACACAGTTTAACTGTTTATTGAAACCATTTCTGCTATGCATGTGCCATCTTGAAGAGGGAGATGTCATTAGAAGCCTAGAATACTCTAGGTAGAACAAAGGGATTTCTAGCTAGCATATACTCCACAACACAAGTAAGTCTGTTCTGAGATGTGGGTTTAGCTTGCTTAGCAGACTAATTAAGTCTTGCACAGGAAAGCCACTGTTACTTTCCAGTAAAGTTAGGTTAGGTTAACTAATGAACTTGTTCTCAGTTATTTACACAAGTCAGGGTAAAGTTAGCTTTAGCCTAATTATTTAAAGTGATTTGAAGTTAGGCTAAAGATACTTGCATATTATTGAATTATTCAACTTGATTTTACAAGTAGGCCAACGTTAAGCTAGAATATTTAAATACTACTTAATTATTTTCAGCAGTTATAAAAGTTAGGCAAGGATTTAGCACATCTATTTAATTACAGTGAATTAGGAAAGTAAGGCTCACTTAGACCAAGTTACTTTCACACACTTTATTTATGTATTTGCTGACTTAATAACAAGTAGGACTGCAATTTTTATTTAAGATAATTGAGTGAATTTTAGACTTGCAGAAAGACTGCGTTGTGTACTGTGTAGTTTGCTGTTTTTGGCTCGTGTTAATGTACCAGAGTTAAGTTCAAGTTTTGTATTTACTTGCCAGCAGTAAACAGAAATTCCTGGATTAAGAAGTAACCGTTCTCCATCTACAGACAATAAATTCCTTGGTTAAGCTATCTTACCAACACTATATATATGTAACTGTGCTTGTGAGCCACAATGAGCTTCCGGTAAGTTTCCCAGAGATCACAGGTTATAACGAAAAGATTATTAGATCACCTGGGGCTAGAGTATTGAATTTTAACCTCCCACCCCTCCTGTGATACCCATTAATTTCCCACCCCTACTACAATACTCATCACCCTCCCACCTCTCCTACAATACCCATCACCCTCCCACCCATCCTGTAATACTCGTCACCCTTCCACTGATACCCGTTAACCTCCCACCCCTACTGAAATACCCACCAACCTCCCACCCCTCCTGTGATACTCATCACCCTTTCACTAATACCCCTCAACCTCTAACCCTTCCAGTAATACTCACCACCCTCCCACCTCTATCATCCGAAATTGGGTGTGTATCAAAGCGGGGGATCAACGATAAGGCTTCGGAGGCTTGTTACTTTATCAGTTCTTCGTACACAGGCAGTGTTATGGTGACGGGCTAAGCACATGCCTGCCCATGCCCGCGAGGGATAGAATGACAGAGTAACGACTTCAACAGAAATACGTCACTTTGACTGTTTTGGGTTATCCTAGGTCTCCAAACATATGCTGCTATGTATGATAATCTATAACTGTATTTGTGTATACCTGTGGACGCCAACTGAGGCAGGGGGAGGTCCGCGCATGCCTACTTCGAGGCCTACCCGCTAGCGCTAACTTTGGGTACTGGACATTTAGGATTACTGTCCACACCTCTCCTGTGACATCACCCTTCCACCTCTCCTGTGACTCCCATTGCACTCCCACCTCTCTTGTTACACCCATTAACCTTCCACCCCTCCTGTGACACCCATCAGGCTCCCACCTCTCCTGTGATTCCCATTACCCTGCCAACTCTTCTGTGACAACCAACATCCTCCCATCACTCCTGTGTTACCCATGACCCTCCTGTGAGACCCTTCAAACTCCCACATCTGTTGCGAGTCCGATCATCCTCCCACCGCCCTCCTGTGATACCCATCACCCTCCCACCCCTCCTGTGAAACCCAAAAGCCTCCCACCCCTCCTGACTCTCATCACCCTCCCACCCATACTGTGATGCCCAACACCCTACCACCTTTCCCGTGATGTCCATAACCCTTCACCCCTCCCATCATACCTATCACCTCCCACCCATCCTGTGAGTGCCATCACCCCCACAGCCCTCCTGTGACACCCATTCCTCTCCCACACTTCCTGTGACACACATCAACCTCCCATCCTTCAAGTAACACCAACTGTTACAAAAATATCTTGGAACCTAGTAGATAAAACCCTTCTCTAAGGGCATATACAAAATAATTAAAAGCAACCCACCATAGGGCCACACTTGTAACTTCTCAAAAGCAGTAAACAGGTTGTACTGTAGGACTGTTTACACAGAAGGGCAGAGAAACTCGCAGAATATATATAATTCAAAACTTGTCTTCAGCACATTTTACATTTTACAAAATTATTCACTAGTATCCTCCAACTAGTTATTTGAAGTTAGGACATATACAGTGGTACCTCGGTTTTCGTATGCCCAAGTTCTCGTATGATTCGGTTTTCGTCAGACATTTTGTAATGGATTAATCACGAAAACCGATGTTCCACTGTATTTTATAACCATGACCTCTCCCCATTCCACAGGTAAAATTATCACTTCCATCATGACTCACGAAATAATGACACGATTGGAAACTAACCAAGGTGTGGGGATTGAACTCGCAGCAAGTGAGTCGTAAAACTCCAGTGGCTAACGCACTGGCCTGGAGTTTTACGACTCGCTTGCCGCGGTTTCAATTCCCAACTGTACCATGGTTACACACCTGCACTAGGTTACACACGCCCCCCACATAATACTAGGGCCATACCCATTGCTATGGCCAAATTAACAGTACAAAATTTTCACCAAAAACAACCTATGGCCTGAAAATTGCAAGGAAATTGTCCACTGTACTTCACGCCTGCTTCATCACCTGGTCCCTTGTCACTCAGCCGCCTGTACCGGCAGGTATACGTGTTATACACGAATACCTGCTGGTCAATACCCGTCTACTTAAGCACTAACATTATATTTATGGAGCGTTTTTCCCTTAATACTAACAATATATTATATACACAATACATATATATTAATATGTA